ACCAAATCGTAATTTAATTAGTTTAAATAATTTAGTTTGATTTATTTGAGCACCCCACCAAAGAACTCTTAGAAGCCCTCTAATCAAATAGTATCTTTAATCCATGGCTCAAGTTGGAATATTTTTCTTCATATGATGTTTTAATATAATAATAATAATACTAATAATAGTAATAATAAAATAAAAGTAGCATGAAAAGATGGCTCACTCAATGAAATTAGAGTATGATATAGCTTGGCTTCTCCTTGCAAGCTTTGTCCGGAGGAGGAAACTAGTGGGTGGCTATTAGTCTTTGCCTAGGCCCATCCAATCTGTCCCTCTGATCAAGATTTGCACCAAATAAAGGAGACTTCTTTTCCTCCTAGAAATTTAACGCTCTCAGCATCAATGTCTTGTCCTAGTCAAGATAAGCTGTCTTTATTTAAAAATTTCCAACGAAATCGAGAAGAAAATTTACAATAATCAATTAAATATTTCCTTTTATGACATTGTAATGTACATGTTATGAGAATAATGAACTATATAAAGAATAAAATTTACTTGGATTTGCACAAAATGAGCACGCTTCCACTGCTTAGTTCACTAATAACTACTAGTTGTATATATATATAAAATATATATGTTTTTTATTTCCATCTACTCTTGAAATCTAGGTGGTCTGGAGGACCATCATGGCTCTTATTTTCCCAAGAATTTATATATAGATAATAATATTTCACAGCGTAGATTTAGACTTGATATTGATAAGGAAAAAAAATAAAACATCAAAACGTTACATTTTTATATTTTAAGAACTACGAGATCATCCATTTCATTCTTGGGTAAACAAAATGATATATGTTGAGAATTTCTTTCTAGGTTTTGTTAAACCCTCATTAGTGTGCATTTGCCATCCCTTAATTTCTCTAATTTTGGGGGAAGATTTGAGAAAAATTTTAAAGAAGAGAAATGCAATGGCTAATAAACGGTCAAAATAACAGATGATGAAATGATAGCTTTTCTGCTTCCCCACCCTCAGACAGTTGTTATTAATTCATTTAATCCCCCTGGGAATTATTGTGGTTGGAATCTTGTGTTGAGTTTGCTTCAATTTTACTTGGCAAAGCCAAACGGGACGCTCTGTGCCGGCATATTTACGTTCGACGTGTATCCTATGAATCTATGGCATGCAGACCACTGTGCATGCAACACTAATGCTGTTCATTAGGAATCCAGCAACTGGGTTGAAACTAGTCTCCCCCCACCCCCCGCGGGGCGGGTCTCTTTCATATTTGATGTTGGAGGTTACTTCACATAGAGTGTCGTTGAGTGCCCGGTACGTATATAATTTTTTTTATAATATATAATCACAAGTAGAATTTAATTCAAAATTTTGAGAATATCATATATATATATATATATAATTTTAAAAAAATATATGTATACATGTTTAATCATATATTTTATTATCTTTAAATACACATAATTAACTATTAATATAAAGCAATAGTAGCTAAATTCAAGAATAATAATACAATATATACGTAAAATGGGCTGAGTGAAAAAAAATTTGATAAAAATGAGTTTGAAGAGTAAATAAATAGCGACAAATTCTGTATCATGAGAATACAATTAGACATCGTTTATTATTTTTTCAGACATTATTTATAATGTAACTTTTTTCACATTTACATTTTTTCATTGAAAATTTATTTATCTTTAAAAACAGTCTTTTACATTATTTTTCTTTTATTTTAAACCCTTAATTAGCCTGTCAAGTGTGAATTTGTTTTAATTTTATTTATAAACTTTTAAATTCTTGCACAATTCTTTTATAGATATAAATAATAAAATATTAAAGAGATTATTATAAATAATGTTAACGCAACAAAATTTTTAATATAATATTATACAACTGTAAAATAATATATATAAAATTGTATAATGTATATATTAAAATGTTAGTTAGATTGTCTCGTTGAGTTACTGTTGAAGTTAGAGGTGATAATCTAAATAATACGATACCCAAATTTGACAGTATAAAATATATCTCTATCGCAAATAAATTATTAAAAAAATCATGTGATGTCACCTACCTTCTTAAGTATGATTGATGGGGATCTACGGTGAAATGGCCAAATAAATAAACCCATCTCTTACGTTTACAAATTTGTGTCACATAGAAAACCTAGTAAAAGTTAATTATGGTGACAAGAAAATTAAATTACAAAAAATAATCACTGATAAGATGTTAGACATTTGTTGACATTGCGACCGTCTGCTCCATAGATATTGAAAATGTGTGGCCATCCAATTTGATGGAACGGGGCAAAATTATGTGATATTAACAGTCTCTTGGGCTGTCCAGTCATCTCCTGAGGCTGTGTTGGAGTCTACTTAACTTTATTTTTAAATTGATTTTTTGAGTGTGGTCCTGGTCATATCTCTGTTTGGGTCCTCTAGGGATTGGACACTTAGAATCATCTCGAGTCAAGATCAACAGCCAAAAAAAGATATAGTCTGTGGTTGCCAAAGACATAATGTTCAATTAGAAGACGAACAAAAAATAAACATGCACCCATCTACTGTTCATGAATTTGACTCATCTACTCTGCGAGAGACTGGTAGAAGTGGAAAATTGTTCATTCATTTATTTATTTTATATATATATTATTTGTGTCATTTCAAATCTTATCTTTTTCCTCTTTTATATTTGTTACAAATGTCACAAATTCAATATCAAATAGGGAGAATGGGAGAAAGTTTTTTAAAAGTAGAATCATAGTTTTGACAAATAATAGTAGAATAAAAATTGAGAGAGTAGTTTAATAATGATACCATCTACATCAAGCGTCTTTGAAAAAAATAGAGTGACAGAAGATGTTAACCTTACCTTGAAAAAAAACGTTAAGGGTTAAAATCGAAAAAAAAGTCACGAATTTTAATAGAATGAGCGTAAAGACTCTGTGACATGGATCATTCAAAATAACAGTAGAATAATTGAATATTTGCTTAGCAGCAGGAGCACCTGATTGACATCTGCATGAGCACACCCCAGCGATCACTTAATATCCCACCAAAAATCTAAATATTATGGCCCTCATTTATAGAGTTCACAGGGATATGATCCAGGGCAGTATTTGGTACCAAAAAAATTTAATTCGTATAAAATAATTAAATTCCTAAAAAAATCTGCAGAAATAAAATTTTCTTGTATCTCGTCTCCTTTATTTATTTGTTTATCTGAATTATGTTTAGTATGAGCCCCTATAGCCTATCCTTAATAAAGATAAAATTGAGTAATCGCGACCGGTAGACAGTTAAAAAGCCTCTATAGGCAGTTCCACAGTCCTTTCTTGCACCTAATAAATATGAAAATTCAACTTTATCTTCTTGGAGTTAGCAACTTCGAAGTCTACGCTACAAGTCATTGTTCTGACCTAAGTAAATGCATGTAATTGGCGATTTTACCAGAGCTGGATTGGCCTAATTTAAAATCTACGTCCAAATTTGACTGTTGAAAGTCGGAAGGAGGAAAAATTTAAAAAATTTTTAAAAAAAAGCCTGCCAGATCCAACAATTATATTTTATGCATATGTGGACATACACGGGGATTTTTTTTTTTATTTTTTTTGGTGGATATGGTCTCAATAACAGAAAATTACAAGTTCCCCTCTAAGGACCAAACAGGGCTTTACTAGTGGGCTTAAGTAGCCCATTCCTCAAGTTTGGGTTTGACCAACATCAATTTTTTGACTCCCACACCCAGCCCATTTAAGTGGATTACACATTTCACATCAACTGAAAATTTAAAAATTTTCTTTTTTAAAGCTTTTATTTTCAATTCTCTAAAATTGTTTTTCTAAATTTTTTAAAATTCTGCTCTATAAACTTATTCACCTCTCCAAAAATATCCTTTCTATTTTCTTTCCAAATTCTCTAATTTTTTTAATTTTTATCTTTAAACATTTTCAAATTTATCTCTAAATTCTCTAAATTTTTTCAACTTTGTTTCTATAAAATTCCTTTTATCTATTTTAAAAACCTCTTTAGTTTTTTCAACTGTCAACTCTCTAAAACAAGTAAACGGTAGGGTTTGAGCTTCCGAGTCTGGACCAAGTTGGCTTTGTGCTGATAAGTCTGGACCGGTATGGGTATGCAGCATTTGGGTCCGGATCTGGATCCTGCGGGTCTGTCTCAGACCCGGCCCCATTATCTAACTCAGATCCGGCCCACTTTCAGGCCTACCTGATATAATGTGAAATTCCATAAAATATATTATGCGCTTGACGCCAATTAACAATGCGATCAATGCTGTAGTGTGCGCATTAACACATTTCTAAACTCAGAAACCTTCCCTCTTCTAATACCTCTTACACTTAAAACAGTTGAAAAGGTCAAAGAAGACAGATATTTTGTTCCGACAACATGGCTGCTGTTAAATATCCAGATAAAACACATTCAAATCCAAAACGATGAGAACAAAAGTATTTTGTAACCCAAACCAGTCAAATATGCCTACCCCATTACTGTCCCTAGTTCAAAATTGACTAGCAGGTTCGTCACATTCAGAGCATATAACATTCCAGGATATGTATTCTTCTGCCCAGACAGATAAGGAAATTGAACTGGGTTCTGGAGATGAAGTCCAAACTAAATAAAAATTAGCTACTGAAGCATTGAAAATAGCTTTATAAGAGTTTGGCCACTACATCCCATGATGGTCATCTTAGCAACGGGAAAGACATGCAAGTATGATAAACGCAATAGTGTGTAGAAGCTACACCGGGAAAGCAATGAAAAATACATTATGCACGTGCCAACCGATCCCCTAAATCTGCTGTATGTTGAGTTTGAGAGTAGCTATCCAACTATTTAACAAAAAAGATCTAGGGCCTAGTAAAGATCTCTATTTTTTCTAGCATGGACCAAGTCTCAAACTGATAAACAGCAGAAAAAGCAGTCCAACAGACAGCATTTATCTGGCCCAAAAAAAATAAACCCAAACATCATCACCACACTTATGGAACATTCATAACTTGAATGGATTGCAACATGTCAGAGACAGCAATGATTAGGTCGCCCGATTTGACCATTCCCCTGGACTTAAGCAAGGAGAAAGTCCTATTAGGTTGCTTTCCATATCATCAGAGAAGTTCAGGCGGAAGGGTATGAGACCCCTTGCAGGTTCAGATGCCTCCGCACAGAAGTTGTAGTCGTGAAAGCAAAAATCGGACAGTCAGGTCGGCAACGTGATAAGAGAGATGCCATGTGTCCTGTCTTCGTGAAAACAAAGAGGGCATCCACCTTAAAATGTTTGCTGAAAATTCAATTCATATTAGTCATCAACAAGAATCTATCAGGGAAAGAGAGTAAAAGCTTAAGTCCCATCTGAATCCCATTGCTCAAAATTCCCTGCTTTCCCCACCCAAAAAATAAATAAATAAGTAAATGAAATAGTAGTTCTAGTTCAATATAAAGTTTAAAGAACAATGCAAGTCACATAATTGAGATTCTTATCACAAATGGCAAAGAAGTGAACTATATTAGGGTAAAGACAAAATCGTTTTGAGAACCCATTGAATAAATGTTCTATGTTCTACAGAAAAAACAGCACTGAGAAACTATAGTTCCATGTTCTACAGAATCACAAGCGCACTGATAATACAGCAGTCATGGACACGTTAAAATAAAAAATGAGTTCCACCAATTTACATCCAATAACTATTTCCAATGCAGCCGAGAACTAAGGAAAGCACAGAACTAAAGGAGCAACAAACAATGGCCCATTATGTTCATGAGATGCTATAGATGTCCCTAGAGAGATGGTAGAACCATAGAATGCCATGATACTAATGAGGCTAAGAAAAACCAGCCAACAAGAAGACAACAAGAACAGAGATGCTAATGGTTAAGTCAATTTCTTTCCGGAAAAGGGAAAAAAACACTTGATCTTCGGGCAATTGAAGACATTGTTCTGGTATTCCAAGCAATCATTTCAAACAAAATGATCATCAAATTGTATTGATAGAATTGCAGATTTTATTGCAATGATGGCAGAAAATGTTCTTTAAATTTGACATTTTATCTACTGAAATTGCATCTATAATACTATAATCACCTTTTCTGTAGCACTAGCATATGTACTAAATATGAGGGTAAGGGCTACATTTTGGAATTTCAGCAACAATAAACCCTCGTACATTTCCCAATTCAATATCTAAACAAATTCTTTGCTGTATCCTTGCAAAATAGAAGCATATAGAAAATTACTAAATTGAATAGTCAAAATATGTACCAGAAAAAGGGAAAAAACAACTTAGGAGTAAACGTACCCATCTTTGCAGCAGAATTGCAGATCTCCTCAATAATGCTATCAGAAAAGGAAGATGCTATATCTGGCAGTTCCATGGCTTCGTGGCATTTCTCCTTCTCTCCACCATCTCTCAATTCTCAAACTAACACTTCTCAGAACTGCTAATGCCTTCTCAGGTTATTGACCATGGCTGATTCAACCAGAGAGCATTAAAGCATCTGCACGTTGCCTAACTGCTTCAGAAACATCAGCCACCTCAGCCTAGTGGGAGTGGGTACTCAATCATATGACTCAAGCAGCTGAGAGGCCACAATGGCAGGTTTGTTTAGTTCCCTGCATAGCTTTATCAATCTTTTGCTGGGCAAAGGGACTGTTCCAAAGGATCTGAGCACCCAGATCCCCTCTTGCCACCATAACTCCATCTGAGGCTTGAATGATTTCTTCCAAGTTCTTCAGGGAGTCAATACTCTCTATTTTGGCAATGACAGAAACATCACTGCATCGCCACAATAAGAAAGTGAAGATAACTGACACTTTGTTTTGTCAGCAAAGGCAAGTGTAAGTTTCCAAAAAGGTCAACGATCTATATATGCTCAGAAAAGAATGAGAAGAAAAAAGAAGGATAGACGACCACTCCAGCAGCAAATACAATAGATGACCTACAGGCAGAAATAAAAAATAAAAAAAGAAAACACCTTAAGATAGAAATCTTACCTATCACGAACCGTGCCTTAATATAGCTCTTAAGATGGTTAATCACTTCAGCTCGACGTTAACAAATGATATTGCAATAAAATCAACACCCTCTGCAATCCAAAATCAATGTCCAACCAATCCTGGAGATACAAAGTGTTTAAGTATGACTAGCTAAAGAATTTTAACATTTAAGAAGAATATACACAAGTCACAAAGTTTTATGTTTCAGAAGTGCCACTACAGACACGCATGCTCGACCCAACTAAGCCTCTCCCACAGCTTCGGTAGGAGACTATTTCATTGATAAATTGAATCTCAAATATATAAAATCTTCATAATGGTTTAAAACAATTATGAGATTCTCCAATAAGAAAACAAGAAATCTTAGCAGCTAAAGTAAAGCCATTTCTTGCTTTCAGGAAAAAAGTAAGTAAAGTCATTCCTTATCTCATAAACTATTATATTTCTAGGAAAGAATAAAGTCCTAAGTTCCCCACTAATGGAAACCTGCATTTTTTTATTTTTTCTTTTTCCCTGTCTTGAAAGCAGCTATAATGGTAAACCTGATCTAAACTGAGCCTTTAATGCATCAAAGGAAAGCTAGTTCCTAGTATAGGGCATCGAGCTTTTTTTCCACCATAATATGACAACAGATTTGCACAAGACTATCTATTAAAGCAGCCATCTTATATTTGCTATGATGCGGGTTTCGAGGCACGACTCTGGAAGTATCCAGTTTTATCCCCTTACAGTGGCAGCAAAAGTCCATTTCACCCAGAACACTTTATGATTTGAGCTAAGAACTTAGTTTTAACATAAGCAAAAGCAACCAACCTTCGATGAAATTGTTGGAAGCATAGCATTACGTCTCGAACCAAGCTACCATCCCGATAAAATGTCAGATTAGCCCGAGGGAGTAAAAGTCCAGGATCAGTACAAAGGCACTTGACATCTGGACCAATCTTCTCAATTACCTCAAATC